TGTATAATATATTGCTGGGATTTGTATTCCCCTATAGTTGATGGTACATTGCTCTATATAATATACAGCACAATGTACCATTAGCTATACAGGTATACAAATCCCAGCAATACATTAATACAGCACCATGTGTGTGTTTGGGGTGGGGGGGGGGGGGGGGGTTTGATGATGCGTCAGAATTGACATAGAGCATGTGGCGAATTTAAGTCGTTTTGTTCAGATGGTTTCAATCTTGATTGTGCTTGACGGTCTTTTGATCCTGGCTGATTTAGGACAGGCGCTGTTTGGATGTTGTGATGGAGGAGAGTCTTGGATGCCAACGTGGGGCCAGGTGATTAGAAGGAAGCTGTATACTTGTTTTGTCGATGTAGTCCAGGGTAAGTGTATAAAAGAATGACTGAATTAAGTAAAATTAAGTAGTTCCAGGTTGCTATGAGAGGTGTGGGTGGTAGACCTTGTTTGCAGTTGAAGGAGCAGGGGGAGGGAGAGATGGACGCTGGTTGTTTGCTGTATCTGGAGCAGTGTCCTGTTGTCGTGACGACGAAGTGAAGAGGAGGGGGGCTATGGAGAGGGAGAGGTGGCCGCTGTGTGGAAAGGTTATTCGGTAGTCTGGAAATCTCAGTGGAGGGCGGCAGTGGAGTAGATGGTGGTGACACCGCAGGCTGCAATGTGTGGAGCCTGGGTGTGGTATGTGGGGGAGCGTCTCCAGTCTCTGGAGTTGGAGGAAGAGACAGCAGCTGGGGACACAGTGAGGCTGTGCGAAGGGGAGACGGATGGTGTGTGCGGGTGGAGATGGACGCACAAGACAGGGGTCGGTACCTGCCCAAAGCCCTGGGATTGCGAGATGTGAACGATAAGGCCGGTGAGGAGGAAATATGTCAGCCTTCCGCTTGTCAAACATGTCCAGGTAATCATGATAAATAGATGGGATAGCTTGATGCAAATCTGGACTGTCTTTAGGTTTATAGAGGGACACTAATGGCACAGAAGTGGTAGGGCAAAAACTGTTCTGTAAACAGTAGAGGGATTGGAACATCACCTTGCCTGTATTCCAGTTTATTTAAGGATTATGGGCTTGTAGTCAGGGTAAACCCAGAATTATTGGAAATAGAGGGAAAGCATGTCAAAGCAAAGCGGTTCTGAATGGCCCGACTCAAGTGAAACAGTAATTGGTAAAATTTAATGTGTTACAGGGGGCTATTTGGTCGGGGATGGAGCTACTCTTTTCGGACTCTTAAGCTGTTCTGCGTCCTTTAGCATCTATTTCCTTTTCCTTTTATTGTCTGTCTTTTTTTTTTTTCCATTATGCTCACACACGTGAACTGTTTAGTGCATTGATGTTGGACAGAAAGTCTTCTATTTATATAGATATGGAGGAGATCATAACAAATGTTTGCTGCAGACATAGGCGGATCCCATGCCAGATATTCCTCTCAGACTGTTTTGAGTTTTTGTTTTTTGCTGATGGGGGATAAATTGGCAAGAATAGGGTGATAGATATGATCTGTTTTACAGAAATATTATATATGGTGTGTATGGCATCTAGTGATCCCCCCTACTACTTGACTATGCTAACGTGGAAGAATCTGAAATGCAATTGTATGCTATACTAACTGTGCATCATGTGCTATTTTATTGTTTTATTCTACTTTGGAAAATTTATAAAATACTTTGAAAGTTAATGTGTTACAGGACCAGATTTAATGTTTGATCTGTCTGCAAGATGAATGGAGGGTCTTCGTGTCTTGCTTTGTAGGGGACTATGGTACTGATTAACAAAATTACAGCTAATAAAGCAGCTACAGGCTCCTGAGTCAAGGATGGCTGAAGTTTGGAGCGCCCCTTCTGGAATCTGTAGAGAAACCGAAAGCGCAATATGAGCGGTCCGCCTCATGGCAGAAGAATCAGGAGTAACTACAGAAGAGAGATGACACTTACTGGCTTTGTTAGGGCAGATTTGCACATAGTGGCCGGCCTCACCACAGTAGAGACAGAGGTTAAGCTGACGGCGATGCCACTTCTCCTTGGGGGACAAAGAAGTTTGGAGTAGACCCAGTTGCATCATTTCAGGTAGATCGGTAGCAGTGGCAGCAGCTGGAGTAGAAGACGTAGGAGCAGGAGCTCAAGAAACTCTAGACAGCATCCACCAGGATGGGATGGACCAGATCTTTCTGATCTACGCTCCTTTAGACGACGATCTATCTGGATGGAGACCTGGAAGAGCTCTTCCAAGGTTTAGGTACCCCGACATGGGCTAGATCATCTTTCAAAGAATCACAGTCCCAGGCGAAACTGACAACGGAGAGCTGCATCATTCCAATCCGTGTCAGAACTCCACCTTCTAAATTCAGCCACATAATCTTCGACTGGTCTACGGCCTTGTTTGAGTGCATGCAGAATGGCTTCAGCCTTGGCCGCTCAATGAGGGTCATCATAGAGAAATGACATAGCATCAGAGAAAGAAGTTATATAGTTTAGTAATGGGCTGTTCTGCTCAAGGAGCCAGTGCGCCCTCGCTTGGGGTTCACCAAGTAGTAGCAAGATCACAAACCCCACTTTAGCAGATTCTGAGGAAAAGGTGTGTGGTTGCAGCATGAAATGGAGTTTACATGCGTTAAGGAATGCACTGTATCTACTGCGGTCTATAGAAAAGCGTTTCAGTGTGGGTACCCGAGATTCAGGTGGCGGAATCATGTAGGTATTTAAGTGGAAATGCCTGTTACGGATGTAGAAGGCTGAGATGAACTGGAAGCTGCTGGCGGAGTTTGTGAAAGCGATTCAAGTCGGCCTTTGAGCTGGAAACAGCCTTCCTGAAGTCTTTTAACAGCCTGGGTTAATGCAGTGATCTTCCATGACAGAGGCCCCACTTTCAGGCGCCAAATATGGCTGACTGATACTGTCATGTACCTTAAGTGGAGCCTGAGATGCCTGCCCCTCCCCCATCGGTCTCTCCAGTCAGCGCAGAGGGGAGGGGGGGTTCCCTGTGGGGAGCAGTGACTGACGTCACCGCTCTCTGTAGGGAGAAGATAAGGAACTGAGCGATCAGCGTTATGTGATCGCTCAGTTCTCAATCTATACAGCCGATGTGTGACAGCTGCAGTGTCACACGTCGGCTCTAATTATGGGGATGAGTGTATTTCACTCTCCCTATAATTCTCCTTTAATTCCTATTCCCCACTGGCTCCTGTATTGGACAGACATGCTGTTTGAAATAAATGTGGTGGTCAACAAATGAATACATTTATTTCACATTGTAACATAAGACTAACTATATAACTATAAAACCTCTAGCCAGCTTAATTTGTAGAGTAATCTTGGTAACTGTATACTTACAGATTCTACATGGACATAAGTACACATTTTCCGTGGACTGGTGGTCATTTGGAGTCCTGCTGTATGAAATGTTGATTGGTCAGTCCCCCTTTCATGGTGATGATGAGGATGAGCTGTTTGAATCCATAAGAATGGACACTCCACATTATCCACGATGGATCACGAAAGAATCCAAAGACATCCTAGAAAAGGTATGGGTGGGAATCTCTCACCAATTGTAGCTACTGCCGTAATCCTGTACACACTGAAAATCTCTTTACCACAAATCTGTCAGTGATTAGTCTGTTAGGTCACATAGTGACCTAACAGTGTAAATGGCTGGTTAATAGTTTCTTACATTCGTGTTCTTATTTTTAAGCTGTTTGTGAGAGAACATACAAAGAGACTTGGTGTAACTGGAAACATCAAGGTGCATCCTTTTTTCAAGACTATCAACTGGACTGCTTTGGAAAAGAGAGAAGTGGAACCACCATTTAAACCAAAAGTGGTATGTATTTCATAATGCACATTTTCATAATGCACAGCTTCTAGGTTGACTTGTAACCTCTTTTCATAAGTATGCATCTTCTCTTTTATCTAGAACAACTAAAAAAATGAGGCACTCTTATCTTAATACGACACTTTGTTTCTCAGCTCAAAATCAAGTATAGTCATATAGCCATGAGGTGAAGGATTTCATCACATCTAGGATCAGTTAGCCCTCATAAGGATATGAAATCTGAGAAGACCAAGTAATCAGGAGCAAAAGCCTTTACAACAAAAAGCATGCCCCATGGACGGAATTAATACAATAAAATGTCATCCTTCTTAGGGGAATAACAGTCTTAAGATATGGTAGTATTAAAAATAGAGGGATGATGGAGGGAAGAAATAGGGGGGTGGGGGATTTATCAAAGCACTTGCGACAGTTTTAGCCTCTTAGATAATTTTTTTAAATGTGCAAGTCTGTCTTTTAACATGTGCCCCTGTTTTCTTCAGAGCCTGCACTACTTTTTCAACTGCATTTTTTTGCACCTGTTTTCTTCAGAGCTTGCACTACTTTTTCAACTGCATGTTTTTTGCACCTGTTTTCTTCAGAGCTTGCACTACTTTTTCAACTGCATGTTTTTTGCAGCTTTTTTGCACGTGTTTTCATCTGCACTTGTTCTGGGCTGTCTGAAACTGGAGCATCACCAAAGAAAACACTCACAACTTAAGAAGTCCCCATGACCACTTCTTCAGGATGCGACAGTTAAGCTTTTTGCCTGAAGTTAGAAGTCTTTTTTCTTGGAGTCTATTAAACCTTATTTATCAACAACATTACACTAGCTTGATAAATCTGGTGCAAATATATTCTGTGCAAGTTCAAACACTCGCAATTGCTTTGATAAATTCCCCCCAGGGTCTTTATTCCTTATCTATGATATATAATGTCCCAGGTAACAAACTGAAATGTAGAATGAACGGTATGATTGGAATTGTTTGATACTGCATTGTTTGGGATATGCTTGTTTTAAAAAAAAACAGTTCATAATAAAGGTGGAAAATTTGTGTTAGCTGACAGTAAGCTGCTGTGTATAAAATTGCAGATCAGGATATAAGGGAATACACCACCCTCCCCTAGAGTGTACATTAATGAAGCAGGTTTAATGTTTTGCAGCCTTAACAGTATATTTACTTAAATTACTATTGCCCACTGAGCTTTTGCATACCTGAGGAAAAGATTGTATTATCAAGCTGAGACTGCCTCAGTTTTCTACTTTCAAGTGTGATATAGTGTGTGTGCATGTGTATGCACACACACCATTCACACCTGACCGTTTTGTAGCGCGTCCTACGCTCGATGAACGCTCTACAAAACGGTCAAAAAAATAAATAGCATTGTAGTCAATGGTATCGTTCCCACCTGTCCGTATTTCCGCCCGTCCCGAACGCACTACAAAACGGCCCACGCATGAAAAGGTCCCGGAGCGTTTTTTGCTGCGTATTGGTCCGTTTTGTAGGGCGTTTTCCATTTGTATACTGCCAAGTAGCCTTTGGAATCGCGCGACGGTCGCACGACTTTTTTACCGCGAATCGCGGTAAAAAACCCGCGTGACGGTCGCGCGACAGACGCGCATATTACAATACGCATAGGTGTGAATGGGGCCTTAAGTCAGGAGATGCTGCTGAGCCCTGACACCTATGTCAGGAGGTTCTGACCCCCTACACCAAAGTCTGTAGGTGCCGAGCCACGACACCCATGTGAGGAGGTGCAGAGCCGCCATTCCTAAGTCAGGGGCTGCCGAGCCCCAACACCTCTGTACAAAATCCTGCAAAGTTAAGTTGCCCATACACGCGATCGTACGAGAATCGTGCAGTGCATGGAAGGCGTGCGACCGTTTCTACGTACAGTCGCACGTCTTCCGTCGAACAAGCAGGCTGGAAAACCCGCCGGGAATCGTACGATTCTCGGGGAGTTAGTGGCCTGCTTGTTCGACAACTGCCGAACGGGCCGGTGCGCGCACGCACACAATGCCCATTTGCAGTCATCGGAAGCCCTCATTGCAGTCATCGCAAGCCCGCCCCTCAGGGGGGCGTTTGTTAAAGTACTTTACAACCCTCGCAAGACAAAAGTCTTGCGAGGGTTGTAAAGTGTATGGGCACCTTTAGACCAAATCAGTCCACTTTGTATTCTCGAATAATCATTTGCAAGCATAAGATCAATTGACACAATTAAAATCTACAATCAAAGAACAATGCCACGCACTGTGTTAGGCAGCCCATTTAAATTGAATGGGGTGCAATGCACCTTAATGCAGAAAAAAAAAATGCAGTCTGCACATGTGCCATGTAGAGGAACTTTGGGGTGCCATTTAAAATAAATGGCTCCGTGGTGCACCAAAGGACATAACAAATGTCGGAACTTGAAAAATTCAAGTTGAATGATCATAGAGGTCACTCTAGACCGTTCATCAAGATGAAGTTTACTCCACAGGGTTCCTGGGTGCACGTGCACCAGAAGGCTGTAATCTCACTTGTATGTAATGCCAGAGATATCTCCTGTTCGTTACATTGCACAGTGTGGCCTTTAGGGCTAGCGTGCTTCCCACTTCCCTCACAGCTCTGACAAATCTGACATATTTTTAAACCCGTGGCGGGTTGGAGGCTTCGCTATCGAGTGAACCAAGCCTGGGTCATCCGCACACTACAGCGGCAACTGGATCTGGTGTCTGCAGGCTAAGAGCCCCGTCATCCGGAGACACATCCATCTGGCCGCACTGTGCAATGGAACGAACAGGAGATATCTCCGGCATTACATACAAGTGAGATTACAGCCTTCTTGTGCACGTGCACGTGTACCCAGGAACCCTGTGGAGTAAACTTCATCTTGATGAACGGTCTAGAGTGACCTCCATGATCATTCAACTTGAATCCGTCTATGGATATCTCTCCTCTCCCTGTTTATGGGTGATTGCTGAGAAACCATCAATTCGTGTGGACTGCCATACTTTTGGACCTGTGTAGATCCTACACTGAAGCAACATAAGGAGTAAGTAACCACTTTAATTACAATGATACTTTTGTATCCGACGTGTCTCTTCAGAATTGGATTCACTCACTAAGTGACTGCCTACCACCCGCGGAGGGTAATTATATCTATGCTACTAGCTACATTCATTACCGAGCTGTTGTAGGGGAGTTGTTTGTATTTTTGAAGTTTTAAATGTATGTCTTGTGTGGTTTATACTTTTTTCTACTTCATTAAAATGAAGTATGATGAAATTATGATGAAATTTACATGTGATTAAATACTTATTAGACAGTTCCAACTTTTGGGATTTTCTTTTGCTCAAGTGAATTATTTTATATAGTATACTTTTGGAAACCCAGGAACTGACTTTACCTGCTTTGATCGGTTACACCACTCCATTTCCCTTGTGTGTATAACTAATATATATAATCTGAGTGGCCAGATTATTATGACCACCCCATCAGTACTTCGTTGGGCTTTTAAATACTTAATGCAATAGAAATGTTATCAAAAATAATTTCAATTGTATTATTATTAAATAATACAATTGAAATTATTTTTGATAACATTTCTTTACAATAGTAATAATGTATACAAGGTAACTTTTATGATGAGCCATTTTTTCCTATGATGAGAAAACAAAAAAAATATCATGGTAGTCTCTTTTGCGCTTTAAGTTTGAGACAAGGCAATTCCATCAATCTCAGTTTTTACACAGTCTGGTACCATGCTCAGTCCTTATCTTGTCGTTGTTGTCTGGTACCCCCACAATTTACAACCTGGGAATGTATGTGGTAAGGCTCTGAGAATTGCTGATGTGTTAGAGTATTTGTCCAGAAACCATGAACTCAAATTCACCTTATATACTGATGGAATAGACAGAACAAAGATGGCTTCCAGGATGCCTATATTACATAATGTAGAATAATATGTATAGGCCTTATAGTTTAATTCCTTTTAGCCCCAAATAGTTCCGACACCCCACCACAGCACACATGTAAGCAATTAAAAAGATATATGTTTATTATTAAGAGCTAGGAACATCAATTCACCCACATTCCTCACTGCAACATATATACGTTTTAATAGTCTCCCTCCCTCACAAAGAGCACCTATAATATTTTTTAATATTATTTAAAACTGATGTTTTATATATTTTTTAACAATATGTAAACAATACATAAATTACAGCAGGCTCCCAGAGCACTTTAAATTATCAAAAGAGACAGCAGAGAAAAAGATGCATGCTTGAGATTTGTATATCTTAACTGAACTCCAGACATATCTGTTGCATTAAGACAAACAATCACGGTTGTCTCAGTCACTTGAGCTGCTACATATTCACAACTTATGAAAGGGAGGCCATCTGCTGAATGGATAGAAAAGCACAGACTACTGAAATAGATTGTTTGCATGCATTGTATATATTGTATACATTTCTTATTGTGTGTTATACATAATATATTTTTGTGTGCCATTTGCTGTCAGTCATGTTAGTAGCTATGATACCAAGGCCAAGGCAGAGTTGGGATTCTGTAACTAGGGTCAGTTACAGCCAAGTGAGTGGCAGAGACTCCGGCCATTAGTGCATGAAAGACAGGACAGAAATATGCGGCACTATCATTCTTGCTGTTTGGCATTTTCCCAGTGCAGATCAGTGCAGTCCTGGATTAAAAAAGTAAGCTAAAAATGACTGCCTTTTATTCATTAGGTTCCTGTGTAATCCCTGTTCATCCCTGCTGTTCTACTGACACCAATTGTCAGATAATACTACAAGTGAAGATTGTATATTATTTTTTGCACAACCCCTTTAACACATGTCCATTAATATGTGTTGAAAATTAAAGAGGTCCTTCAGCCTAAACAAAGAATAATCAGCTGTTACTAACCAATGCATTGTCTCTTGTACAGCAGACACTGCATAGACAGATGTTAAACACCCATTCCACTGTTATTACAATGCTTTATTTCACTTACTGGTGAAAATACCGCTTTCAGGCTCAGGGAACCTCATGCAAGTTCCTGATACCAATAAAAGAGGTCAGAAAAGCTTTTTTTTTGTTAAGCTGAAGAACCTCTAATGGATACCTTAAGAACCTCTTAAGGATAAAATGTCAGTGTTTCGTAGGATCATGTGTTGTGCAGCTGTAGTGTTGTAGTCCAGTTTATATTTATATCATCACCACCATTTCTTTTTCTCTTTCCCTAGAAATCCCCTAGTGATTACACCAACTTTGACCGTGAATTCCTCAGCGAAAAGCCACGACTTTCCTACAGTGATAAAAACCTTATTGATTCAATGGACCAGACTGCATTCCATGGATTCTCCTTCATCAACCCCAAGATGGAGAGGCTTATTGAGAAATAATAGTAGTGCCCCTTTCTCCTTATATGTGAACTGTAGACCTCGTTTTACAAAGGGAACAACATTCAGAACTGCATCTGTATTACTACTATGCTTCTAAAATTATAGAGCATTTTTATTTCTTTTCATCACTCCAGCTATAAAAAGATTGTTGTTTATAATCATTAAAAAAAAATATTCTTGTAACAGAATTGCCCTCCCAGAAGAAGACCCTCCCATCTGGATACTTGAATGTAGTTAATATGTCCAAAAATCCATCATGGTAAATTTAAATACGGATTTGGCTGTATATATTGCTTATCGATTCAGAATAGTGTGGGTGGGTAGAAGCTTCAGTATATGACAATGAAGTGACTTGGATGAAAATATTTTTTACAGTCTACTCCAGCTTTGTTCCTAAAAAAATAAATAAATTGGTATTTGAATTTCAATACAATCAATTCTTTTTAAACTATATACACCTCTAACAAAATGTAAATAAGAAAAGTGTGCAAAATAGTATTCTAAGTAAGCGCAGCTGGTAAATGTCTATTCCTTTGATTACCCAGTATCTGTATTAATTAGCAAGTGACTAGAGCAGTTAGTGCAGCTCCATCTTTGTTAGCTGGTCAGCTACCTGGTCATCGAGGTCCCACTGATTAGTGCATTACTGGAGTAGAGGGCTAGCAAGACAAGTACTGATGATGAAGGCTCTTCTCAGGGAGGATCTAAGCAAACTTTGGCTAAAATTAATTTATTAATCGTTCCATAAGGGACACGCGGTCAGGAGTCTGAGACATTGGGTTATGCTGCCACCTTCAGAAGAAGTGGACACTGACAGCAATCAAAATTGTTGAACAGGCAATTCGCTCCCAATATGCTTCAAGTAGACTGGACACTGGATAAAAGCATCTACCAGTTTTTATTTTTTATCAAGACTTTTTTTTCTTCAATTAAGTTTCTTGTGTACAGCAGAGCCAATAGAGTTCCTTCTGCAGTTTCCTGCATCAGCTGCTTTGTGGCCTACCCTTGGTGGTCCTGCTTGGACACCTCCATGAGTAAAATTGTAGAAATGTCACCAGCACACCAGTCCTTTTAGGATAGCAAAAGCTTCATTTATTGAAGTTTTTTTGTCATATGTAATCAAAACAACACTATCCCCTTAGCAAAGAAATCCCACATTAGGAGCTGTCAGCTGAACGAGTATACTCAATGAGTATATAATGTATCAAAAATAGTATTTTTAATTAACATGGTAGTACAAATCATAAATCACCTAATACACAACATTTAAAATCTTTAAAAGGCTTCCTTTGAATAGCCCAAGTATTGGACAGGACAGTCGGGGTTAATTAACCAAACTAACAGGCAGTCACTGGTATAAGTAGATGTGCTATATGGAAATAGCAGATACAATTGTATCAACACACAGCAGGGTTACTCACTTCATATGTGGCCACAGAGTGAGAGTCCATCTGAGATTCCGTGTTGGATGTAAATAGGATGTTTTAATGGAGCATATCCATATAATGATTTGCAATCCCAGAAGTTGTTTTCATTCTGCTTTTAAAGATCGCATGGTTTCTCTTGCGTCTCGTCCGGATTAACATCAACCGACGGGGGTGGGAATATTTCTCCACATTTGGAATGACCCGAGGGTTTCCCTTGCGAGTGCGGCCGCACGGTATGGCAGGGATAGATGAGGTTCCAGAGGCAGTGTGCTGGATCAGAAGAACGGCTGCTAACTGATGGTCAAAGCAAATAAGCTGCACTCTGTCCAGGTTCAGAGTCAGTGGACGGTGCTGCTGCTACTACGGTATGTAGATCAGCTCCGCTCAATTTAGTCGGTGTATTGAAAGTTCGCCACCCAACAAAGCACAGTCAGTGAGTTCAAGGTGTCCAGGGAAGTCAGCAACACGCTGTCCCTTTTTTTGGCATATGACCAACAAGCGCTTTCGGGACCGCATAGGTTCCCTTCATCAGGTTTTAGTATTGACAGTTGTACAGTGATCACATCTAGGTATAAATAGACAGACAGTTGCATAAAACACCAATAAACACACCCTCTGACGTCACAATGACACCCAAAAAATAGAAAAAAATGTGCAGATGTTAGCTATCATATACAGTATAATCAGTATAGAAAAGTACTATGTGCCATCAATTAAATGCTGCATATGAACACATATCAGCCATGGATCAAAGAGTAAGTAGCTTACTTGATGGGAGAAAAACGAAGCCTGTAACATCATGAGACTTCTGTATATTCCAGCATCCATTCGGTTCCGATCATTACTATGGTAAAAGGACGTTGTCAGGTCCTGTGTGCGGAGGAAGGTCATGCCCACTGTCGCTGGCAGAGAGCCAGCTGTGTGTAATGTAGAGGGAGAGAGAAGAGAATGTCCTGGATCTGCGCTGTACGTGGTTTCTAGTGAAACGTAATGTATTGACCCCAAGGGCGCCACCTGCTGGTGCTAGCCAGTATTGCAGGTGGAAAACACACAGGAACCATAACGTAAATGGTTGTGAATCCTATCAAGCCATTGGGATACGGTGGGGGGTTCAGGATTTTTCCACAGGGCCGGGATACAAGCTCGGGCCGCGTTAACCAGGTGGCGCACAACAGAGCATTTGTAGGTTTTGGTCGAGAAGTCATTATGGTGCAGGAGGAAGAAGGCCGGGTCCCGAGGAACTGGGTGGTCAGTTAACTTTTGGGTGGTGGCGTGGACCTGGTCCCAAAATGAGTGAAGGGCATGACCAGAAAATGTGGAGGATGTCTGCTGATGGGGCGCCGTAATGCCAGCATGTGTCAGGAGTCTGGGGGTACATGGAGTGTAGAATTTGTGGTGTCCTGTACCACCTGGTGACCAGTTTGTATCCGGACTCCTGGTATTTATTGCTAATAGAGGATTGGTAGGATAGTGAATGCAACTTTGTGCGTTCTCTTGGGGTGAACTGGACTCCGAGGTCCTCCTCCCACCTCGAGAGGAACCACTGAGCCTCTGGTGTGCAGGAGTTTATAGCAGAAAGATAAGACATGGCGAGCTGGACCCTCTCGGGAGCATCCAGATTCTAATGGGGTCAAGGTTCTGGACAGTTGAGTCGGTGTCAGCACCTGACTTGTATGGGGGGGTTGAACCCCAGCTGCGGAACTTGGAACTCTAATGGAGTTAATGAGGCCAATCAGTTGGGAACTCCTGGCGTCACTCTCAATCTAGTGCGGAGAGTTAGGAGTTGCTGACATCATGAGCCCGTTGTTTTCTATTAGAATGGAGAGGGTAGAGATTAGTTCAATCTCCACTGCCAAGGCCCAGGAGGGGGGCCGTCCAGGGAGAAGTCAAGGAGGACGGGGGCATGGTCAGAGAAAGTGATGTTTCCAATGTTAGATGAAGTAACACGGGGGAGCTGACTGTGATGAACGAAAAATAAATCGATGCAGGTGTAACGGCGGTGGAGGTGGGAAAAAAAGGTGTAATCCCTCGTGGAGGGGTGTTGGATACGCCAGACATCACCCAGCTGGTGGTCAAAGAGACATTTCTTTATGCGGTTCAACTTAGCGAATGAGAGGTGGGAGGAGGATGCGGAAGAGTCTAAACTCGGGTCCAGGGGGGGGGCGTGTCCTGGCCATGGCGGAGTGAGGCAGCACTCAATGAGAGCTCTGTGCTGAATGCCCGGGACAGCTGACTAACGGACGATTTTGCTGACTTTTTACCTATGCTGAACGCTGCTCCTATGCTAGCCACTGGTAGGGGCCCCCGACAAACTGACCTGCTGGACCTATTTGCTCGGGCGGGATCCGAAGCCGTGACGAGACCGGAACCCAAAATGGCGACCACACGCTCGGCCCAAAACTCTCTCCCTATCGGCTCATACGCCGGTCCGCCACCAGAGCCCGCCGCCAGAGCCCATCTGTACCCCTCTACTACATGAGGAGGAATCAAACTCCGGGTCCATGGCGTCCGGGTCGGGTACAGGGCCTGCTGAAGGGGATGATTTGGCGGGCCTTCCTGCCGCAGCTGTCCACTAAGAGTGACCTGGATGGCATGGCAACGAAGATCGTGGCAGCCCTCCGGCTGGAATTACAGGAGGTAAAACAGCATCTGTCCTCCCTTGATGGCTGGGTCGATTCCGTGGAGGTGACGGCCGCTTCTCTGCAGGGGCGCATGGAGGTCCTGGAGGCGGGGCAGGCCGCACACCAGCAACAGCTTACATCCCTATACTTGCAGGTGGACGACAGCGAGAATAGAAATTGCAGGAACAACCTGCGTCTTAAGGGAATCCCAGAAGCGACATCGTGAGCGGATCTGAAATCCACGGTGGTAACTATCCTCAATCACTATCTCGATAAACCGCCCACTTCTGCACTAGAACTGGATCGTGTGCATAGAGTGCAGGGGTACCATCAGGGGTACCGAGAGACGTTCTTTGCAGGGTGCACTTTTACGCCATAAAGGAGGAAATACTACGCCAAGCATGGCATAAAGGGCCCCTTGACTTTGACGGAGCCAGGGTTCAAATCATGCCGGACCTCTCCCGCCATACGCTTCGTATGCGCCACACTCTAAGGCCTGCATTGGATGTGATCAGGCGCCACCTATCGTTGGGGACATCCGTTCCACCTGATTGTAGCGAGGGAAAATCAGGTATTCCACCTGCACGATCCGGCACAGCTGCCGGGCCTTTTTGCATTCCTGGAGACGGAGGCGGTCCAAGTTCCAAATTGGCTGGATTTTTCTACAGCACTCCCGTTACCTGGCCCATCCACTCCACGTCAGGCCAGAATGTCGAGGAACAGACAGCGATCATACCTCCGAGGCACTCCGTCCAGAAGCAGGGATTCCAGGGAGCCGTGAGTAGATCGTCATGCCAGCCCTCCCCACCTTTCCCGTGGCACCTAAGAGCCCTCCATTGACTCTGGAAAAAGACACCCTATGCTTACAGATGCAATAGGTTGACGCTTTTTAACCCCCGCCATGGGGTGGCTCTCATGGCAGTGACGCTCTTTCCTTGGGAAGGGGGGGGTTGGTGGCAAAGGGTCACGGCAACAGAACGCATGGTGGCTGCCGGCTACGTGCTTCCAGTCAGGTCACTATCTGGGCCCCGCACATGTTGAGTTTTGGGTCTTCTGTATCCAGAGTTTTGTGCTATGTATGCATCACCCTCGTATCCTTTTGTTTCTTCCTTTAGGGGTTATAGCTCACGCCTTTGGATAAGGATTTATGCTGTATTTGGGCTGGACTGGGGCGGTGGGGCTGATCTGTGGGGAGACGGGGTGCCCGAGATACCCCAGACCTACCTGAGGAATGACGGGATGCGGGGAGGGCGGCCCGTCTGCTCCGGATGGGCTCCACGGTCCCACACCGTTAAGGCACTATGAGGGGTGAGCTACTGTTTGATTCA